GAATCAAGAACTTCCCGATTATCGAAAAATCACAACAAGTTTGAATTTTAATATGTAGATTATATATTATATATGTACATACATGAATACATACACGGTTACGTACGTTTTGTATATTTAAAGATAATACTAAGTATAAAATATCTCGCAGGACTTTGTCAGGTGTAAAATCTAGATAAACTCGAATTTTCCAGAATTTTTCTTCTATTTTCAAATTTATAATTATATCGATTGAATGACCAACGACGCTCATAATTTTCATTAAAAAACCTGATAGAATTCATTAATGTCGGGATAAATATTACACCTTGTATTATATTTGCGTGTGCTACACGTTACAACAAAATTATGCAACAATTATTAACATTTCCTTGTCTATTGACAGATATATCCGAGTCTTAAGGAAGAAGGATCGGTTCTTGGAGGAGCAACTCAACGGGTAACGAGGTAAATATACCTTCTGTTCAATTATCTATCCAGTGGTTTAATAAAAAAATCGAAATAAAAAATAGAAGTGTAGAAAAGCGATCAGAAGAATTAGTTTGAAATTACACGTTGCAACGTAATCCTGGGGAAACATGTGACTCCAGTCGTCGAGAGTCGCGAGACTGTTGTTATTTGCAAATATTTAAAATGCCGTGTAAAATTACATTGCGATCAGATAAAGTTGCTGCTGTGCAAATAAAAAATTGTCTGCTGACTTACATAAGTCTCCATTTACTCTCTAATTCAAAATAAAATTTCTGAATATGTACTTTCATTCGCCGTTTGATTTTTTTTTTGAAATTTTCTTTTTATGGAGATGAAGAAAAATGGAGATCATTGTGCTGGAAAATAATTTTTTTTTAATTCTAATTGTGTTGTAACCTTCACATTTATGATGCCAAGGTTCTCCTCTATTCAATTCAATGAATAATTACGTCTCGTGAGAACACATTGAAATATAGGTGTAAACCACAAAGTTATGACGGAAACAGTAATTTTAGTGGAATGTAAAAATTCATTTTGCCTCTAGATTTGCGTGAAGAAATCTAAAAAATTGATTCCAACTTCAACAAAAAAAAAATGCTGTTAAAAGAATGACAAAAAAGCAAAATCCTTAATAATAACTGACTGAAAAGAAAAATCATAAAAATGCAGAGACGAAATAATTCAGATTGAAATTACCATTGACATAATGGATTGAATATAAACACGATGATTTACATTCGATGATTAAAATCCTGCAGCAGAACAATAGGATTCTGTCCGTCCCTATCTTCGAATAAAAACAAACAAGACACCTTGACTAAATAAATTGAACGATAAAACGTACGTGACTGCATGCATCTTTTTTATGCGAAAGAATGCAGGAAAAAAACTGAAAGGACCACGACAATAGAAAAATGTATCCTCAACTGTTATTCTTCTATTATCAAGTGCATACGTGCGCTTTACAATTAAAATAGATTTAAAAATGGTACATCGGAGTCGAACGTGAGATATTTCAACGAATGCAAAGTTCATAGACTTAAGTTATTCACAATCATTAAAACCGTGATTTATCACCGAGTTCTCTGAATTATCTTATCACACAGAGTAAAAAAAAATAATCAAAGTGACGGTTTGGGAAAGTTATTTAATTGTTCTCACCTGAAGAATTAGCTAAGCGAATAAATGTCAAGTTAAGTTGATGAATATTACCTTGAGGAGGAAATAAAATGAGAAAATATAAATTAAATGGATTTTAAATAGACGAGACTGTCAGAGCGTTTTTCCAGCGTTCCACTTGGTGCGCATTATGTAATTTTCTCGACTCACACATTGACACGGAATTTCCATGGATACATACATATGGACATCAGTATGGTACGTTAGAGAATGGAAAAAACGTCTCATTGTCGTGTATAATTTACCGCGCAGCATGAAAAACCACATCGAGCAAAATAGCTGGGTAATAATTCAATCCGTGACAACAACACAGTTTTCATTTTCCGGTAAATCGAAAAACTCATTGGTCTCTACATCTTTATCCTTTACAGTTCAATCTCGTCGTGAAGTACACCCGAGAAATTAATTACATTTGAAGAGATGAAATGTTAAGAAATGGGCCATTAGATTGGAAAAGTGAGTCAAGGAGTCTGGTCTTGGGATTTTCTATCAAGCTGGACCTTAAATGGTGACATTTTACTTAGGAGTTGCCGTTGCGTGACCAACTATTGCAATCACAACATAACGTGTCAACGCCCCTTCATTCCTCGGACTATTTATTTTCTTTGCCCAGGAAATAATGAAGACCACAATTCCACCGACAAATCTCCATGTATACAAGTATATCTACACAATGCAGTGTACCGTAAAAATTAATATAATGAAGCCAGAGAATACTACAAGGCAACTAATTTCAATTCCGCCTCCACTTCGACCTTTTATCTCTTCTAGTTTTGAATAAGTCGCGTGGGATCCCTGGAGAAAACTAGGAGACAAGCTGAATACGGTTCCTCCTCTTGTCTTTTGTCAACCTACAGTCCGCCATTCTCCGAAGTCAAATAAAAGTCAATCAATCGAAACCCCGCGCTGAAATAACCGCAAACGAACGAAGCAAAACACTATGAATAAAGAAAAACAAGTATCCAAGTAATTCAAGTATCCAAGTAAAGTATTCAAGTAATAATACTTGAAACCCATGGCCAAGGCTAAATTTGCATTCGAATAATTTCTATATATCCACGGAATTGTATAATTTCGTCGGATATTCGATATCAATGGAGATTAAATGCTGTGGATTTCAATTCAGTGGAAAGTGGTGAAAAAGGTATATTAAGTTCGGTAAAACTTCTGGAAACACACAGAAAACACTATATACTATACTATACTTAATGTAGAAGATTTAGAATGTAATTTACGCGATTTGTGATCGCGTATATTACGGGTTTGGAAACGTAAATTACGGGCAAATGCCGGAAATTACGATTTTTATATCGTAAATTACGGGGTCCATCCCGTAAATTACGATTCCGAACGCGTAAATTACGGAGACCCATATCGTAAATTATAATCGTATAATCGTAAATGCAAGGACATATAAAAAAACTTTTTTGAGCAACATCAAATCTTCAAGTTTGAGGATATCTCGAGTCTGAACATGACTTTTAATGATTTCTTTTCAATATTTTTCCAACAAAGAATTTTGAAAATTTTGAAAATTTGGGAAGCATCGCTGAAAGACGAAAGAAATCGAATTTCCCGCGCAAATTTGAACGTTCTATTTTATATTTCATCCACAGGTCTTTATTATCCTTATTATGAAAGTAGAAAGACAAAAATAAAGTTTACTCGAGTCAAAATATCTAGAAACACGCAGGACTAATTCCTCATTGGTCAACTCGAACCGCCAAATTCAAATTCGACGGACGGAGTGCGCAGTAGGTCTTTTAAATTATAAATAACAAACACCAAAATCAAGAAAAAAACTCTTTAAACCTTCTCCTCATCAAATACAATTCAATTTCCACTCTATTAAACATTCAAAAAAATTATTCCCTGAATTTTCCCTTCTCAATTTTTTCAGGATGACACAGATTTAAAAATGGAGAACCACTGGAAATATTTCAAAAAATTTCCCAAATTCCCAAATAAAGAATTCTCCAAAAATGTCAAATCCCAGCCATTGCTAAAAATTGGCAGTTCGTCATGGAAGATGACAAGTGTAATTTCCTAACAGTATATTCACACAAATCCTGAAGGATTATCACAGCCCCACCTCTTCGTTAGACTTTTCAAAGGTAATCGATGAAAATGCCAGATGGACTAGGTACAAGATAAAACCCATACATATCCACCCCTCTGACTAAAATCCCCCTAGTACTCTCCGGCGTTATTTATAGAAGAGAAACAACTCGAATAAACACGCTTGCATCGCGTGCCCTCTTGTGTTACGCTGGAAACGTACAAAGTTACGCCAGCATATCGCGATTTACACACGACATGTGTAATGTATACATTCGTACTTGTACCCACCAACATTAACCATCTTTCTCCTCTATACCTCCTCTACCTCTTCTACTTCCTCCACTTCCTCCACTTCCTCCACCACCTTCACCACCTCCACCTCCTCCACCACCTCCACCTCCTCCACCTCATCCACCACCTCCACCACCTCCACCTCATCCACCTCATCCACCTCATCCACCTCATCTACCTCATCTACCTCATCTACCTCCTCCACCCAAACCAACCCCTCACCTATTTTGTCTCCTGTCTGTATCCCTATCCCTTGTCCTCAGCCTGACTATCTGTTCTTGGATTTGCCTACCACTCCACTTTCCCCTTCAACTATAACTACCACGTAAAATCCACAACCCAGTGAATTCTTCTCCCATTTTCTCCCTCTTCTATATATTTTACCTCTGGAGTTTGTAGTTGGGCTGTTGCCATTATCCTTTTCTATGCAATAAACCATTCGTTTGTACCTCTATCTCAGTTATTTTACCTTCGGCTAGCGAGTATCAGAGGACTCGTGATCCACGGCAATGGCTATCTGATTCGCTTCCGGTTATTTAATCCCCGAAAGGTAAAAAATAAATAAACGAGTTGAAGGGATTTTTCATAAATTGAGGCAATTCAGTCGTTAATGGGGGCTTTCTGTCTTTTATATCTTCATTTGAGGAATCTTTCGACTATTGTTAACTATTTGTAATAAAGAATGTAATTAAAGGGTAGGTAAATGCGTCATTTAGTTTCGGATTGAGGGAGAGATTAATGGAGGAGCGAGAGAAAATGGAAAGGGAAGTATCAATGAGGATTATTCTCTCTTCCTAGTTTCTCTCGTTGGACATCTGAGCAGATTTCTCTGTAATTCGCCAATCCTATGACTCTATTACTCATACTTCAGTTAATTATTCTTGCAGCGTAATTGTGATGTTTGTGGATGAAAATTGAATTTAATAGTTCGGAATCAACTCATTTTTTCATGTTGACCGGAAAATTTTCAATTTTTTTAACTCGTATCATGTCACATGAATAAATAAATCACTGGCTTTGATGTTAAATTGGTTTTTTAATTTATGAATTTCCCCCTTTTTATTTACACATAATAAATGCGAATTCTGGTACTAGAGCTTCAGCCGAATAAACTGATTTCTCTGATATTAATTTTTTAATTATTTCATTTAGTTTTTATTTGAGATATTTTTCAGTTCTGAATTATAAATTCTGGATTCGAATTATTTTTAATCGTTTAATATTAATAAATCAATGGTATCTGTCAGTTCTCGAGAGAAATATAAAAATTACGTACCTCTTCCGTAATTCCGGAGCGAAAAAACGTTTAGAAAAATTGTACATTCCATAGCGTTGGATAATTTTTGTCTAAATTATCAGTGAATAATTACGATACTGTAAATTCTCTAAGTCACTTCCGTAATCGGTAAGCGAACTAAAGTTGCATAATTTTTAGTGAATATTTCTCTGAGGTTTGAAAAAAAAAATCCTTTTCCATTAATCGTTGAGATTTCGGGTAAACCATCATCATTCAATCCGTTTTCTGAATGAACTTTCCAGCTCGGAGATTGGGTATGCTGGTTCTCCATCCCGGGAATTGCTCACCAGAGGATGTAGTATCGACTCTGTCGATCGACCCTTTCAACCAAGTGACTGGGTAGACGTTAATCTGGAAGTACCAAGTACACCAAGAGCAAGTTCGGTCATGACCAATCGTACCTTAGATACGACACTCTATCACACTGCAAGCCCAACAACAAGTTGTGAGTTGCATTTATCTTGTTGTCCCATTATTCTTCACGAAAGCAAAACTCCTTACGAGGAAAATTCGTTGCTCAGGGTGAGCTGAATGAATTACTCATCATTTTTGATTCTTATTCAGACTCTAATCTCAAAGACGTGACCCCAATCCCACCACCAAGGAGTAAGAAGAAAAATCGGAGACGACCACTGCCACCAAAGCCCAGTGAGAGTTACGAGAGTTTAGAAACCGAAATTGCTCCTAAGGATTCAAAGGAGCCTCTTTACTCATCTGTGAAATTTCCCACGGGCAAGAAGAAGGAGGTTCGTGAGTACAAGGTCATTTATTTTTCACCAAGGAAATTGATTTCTTTCCACGTTATACACGAATAAAAAAAATCACTTCTTACCAGTACAAGATTGTCCTCAGGGGAAGGTGACTTGTGAAAAATTTCAAAAATACTGATCTCATGTGCATTTTCTTTTCATGAATCAATAAATAGTAATGCAGTTTTCTGTCAGTAGTGTTAATTGTTATCACAAATAGCAAAGGTACTACAGAAAAATAATTTTAGTTGCTCTCAAGTACTTTCAAAACTTAATTTCGAATTTATTACTTTATGGGGAGATATTCTAGTGGATATATTAACCAATTGAGTAATTTAGTATGATAGCCATGTTATTATTAATTTTTATAGATCTATGAAATAGAGAGGGTGATCCCCAACGCTGTTGTGTCTGGTTGGAAGTCAGCGGAGAGGCTCTCTAGTCACGAAAAAACTTCCATTAAATCGAAAAGTTCGAGCACCGTTAGTCTACCGAATTACAACCAACTCGAGGCATCGCGATACGAAGATGAGGACGAAAAATCATCAGAGGAAAAGCAAACTTCCCCTCTTGATCAGTTTACGGACTTGCCAGTCGATGGTTTGAGACTAGATAAAGGGAAAACTTCGACTCCACTGAAGCAGGATATCAAGGATGAGCCGAGAACGCCTGTTAAAGTTGATGGATGGTTTTTGCATCCTGACAAGTAAGTTAAAATGTCGACATCAAATATTTTACGACGCTAATAAATTAGGATAAACTGATTCTCATGGGATTCTTAGGGGAACGCGATTTGAGGATTCACCAGCACCTGAGGAAAATGGAACGATTGATGAGGAAACGATGGAAAATAGAAGCTTCACGAAAAATACGTACGAGAATCCGTTCTTTGAAATTCCTGTGGACGAGATGAAAAAGACGCGTGAGTATTTTCTCTACAGTATTTGAAAGTTGCCCGGCAATAGCGTAATTAGTTAAGTAATTAGTCGAATAATAAAAGAAGGAAATAGTGATATGAGTATTTTACAGAAGAAAAATCATTCAGAATGAAATCAGTTACTTATTTATTAACTATAAATACATCTATAGCTATTTGAAAGCCTTTCAGTGTACATGTTCTCTCGAATCATCAATAATAATTATGGACTTTTATTCCTGTTCAAAAATGGAGAACTCATTTAATTTGAAGTAAAAGTTTACTTCATTTTCCCTGGAAAACCCAACGTTGGGTCCATCACAAAGAAGTTTTTGCTTTCCAATTTAATTATTTAGCGTATAATTATGGAACACCCATAAACATCCACTATTGATTGCAGTAATAATTAATTAAAATGAATCAAAGAAATAGCCACGAACCAATTCTTTCAGCTGCTGCAAATGCGTGAGAATGAAAGCTAGAACTTTTCTCACTGATTTAGCGTTGTAGGCGTTTCGTAGGAATTTCCATATCTTGATCTTAAACGATGATAGATAGATAAATCCGCATGATCATTGGTTACCTATAAAAGTAACCCAGCTCAAAGTATTACCTAAAAAAATCACAACAAAAATTATTACACCTGAAAATATTACTGTTAAAAATAATATAATGATATCGTAATATCTCGACTTGCACTATTTTTCGCGTTAATATTTCCGCGAAGTAATATATTTACATTATAATATTTCGACTTGCAATATTTTTTTGGATTATTTTGAGGGGTAATATTATTATTGAATAAAATTCGAGTGGTCACCCGATGATTAATTGTAGAAGAGAATGATTTAGTGAGGAAGAAGAAAGTGAATAAAATTTATACGCTGAATGATTTAAACTCACTGCGTCCTTTTGATTTGATCTCCAGATTCCCTGAATCGCCATCGCGAGGTTCAATCAACGAAAAACCTCCGTAGATCGTTATCAAACGACACTGAACTTTTCGACAACTTTGAAGATAGAAACACTCTAGCATTGCGCGTCGATCCATCCTCCCCATCTCAATCGGACTCTTCACCACGAGTGCTAACAAGATCGATATCCGAAGAGTCATTTCCAAGTGCTCTGATGGAGGATCCAGATGAGATTGACTTTTTCGAGGATAAAGTCGTCAAGGATACCAAGAACGAGATAACTAAGATACGTGAGGAATTGGAGGCTGTTAAGAATGAAGTTAAAACGCCACCATCCAGTCCAGAACCAAAGATCAAACCCGAACTGCAGAGTAACGATCACTCGACTCTGTTGAAAGTCCTGAGAGACGAGGCTGATGACAGCAATTTGAGCTCAATGACACCAAGTTTGACAGAACTCTCAGCAGCTCTCTCAGATATGCTGGAGAAGCAGGATGAGCATCTGGAGGTGCACGAGCAACCCCTGGAGTACAAACATATCCCAGAGAAATCCATAGAAATTCCCATCGAGCCAAAAATCATTCCCCTGATTGTCGAAGAAACTCCTCCAGAGATGGTGAACATCGATTTAACTAACGGCAATGCTATCAATGGTTTTGAAAAAATCAATAAAACCAATCACGACATTGAATCACCACCCAAGCCAAGCAGATTGCACAGAATCATCCAGACTCCCTCTCCAGAGAGCCCAGATAATATACCCACTCCTCCCAGAAGGCGGAATCGCAGTAGTTCAGGTGCTCTGAATGACAGACTCATTTGACGAGACAGAAAGAAAAAGAACTTTTCATTATAAAAACCGAGAAAAAAAAATCGGGCATCACAAGTGTTTGTAAACAAAGTGGCGTTCTCAGTGGATTTCGTGGATTTTTTAAAATGGAAAACGAGAGACGAACAAGAAAATACAATACGTTTTTCCCTCAAGTTCCTCAATGGTTCTGTCGAGCACTCGTGAGAGTAATCGTACAAAACTTCTCGGCTCGTATGTGCTGGAGGAAGACAAGAAATTACTGTACGGAAAAGCGGTGTCCTCCCTCCATCCCCTTCTGCTACCAAACTTTTTAACGAACGTACTGTGCCGAGTCACGCGGGAAAACTACCTCACCATATTATATATGTAGTGAACAAGAAGGATATGCGTTGTGAGTGAGATAAATTCAATGGTAAAGCTCCTTCATCGCTCCTATTACCACAAAAAAAAACGGAAAGATAATAACAATAAAAAGGGGAAGAATCGTCGAGAGATTGGAGCAGTGAAATTCATTCATCCGTTATGCATCACTGTTCACTTTGGATGAAACCGAAAAGAGTATGAGCAAATGGTTGTAACATAGGTTGTATAGCGTTAATGAACCTTAAGGTGCTCCAATAAAATTCTTAACTATCGATTAAATTGAAATAATGAGAAAAAAAATACTTTTTGTGAATTATTTGCAGTTCTGTTACGTGCGCTGTTATTATATACACAATTTTTTCTTTTCAAATGAGAAATTGTTCCGGTATCCTGGCCATTACTTTTTTAATTATCTTTTTCAGCGCAAAAACCTCTTCTATCCTTATGCGCTTAACGGACCAGTCGTAATCGCTTTACGAACCACCCTGCTGCACAATTCCCGTAGGCTATACACACAGCAGTACTTTTCCACGTTTTTCCATGGTGGCAAGTGCGAAAAATCACTCTTCTGAATACGTGGAGGCCCGAGGTATTCTATAATCCCTCCGTGGACATTTTGGTACGGCAGAAACATATGATTAACCCTCAATTTTGAAGAAGTACTTCTGAAAATCGATTTCATAAAAGGATTTTCATTAAAATCATTGATTGTGTTCAAAAGAATTTTATGATTTCCAGGAATTTCGATTGTATGGATTTTATAGATTGCAATAAGTTCAGGGATTTCAGGGTTTTTAATAATTACTATTAAATTTTACAAAATTGTTAATTGGATTTCTTTTCAAAGTGAAAGGGAACTTTTTTTTTACGAGTGTTTCATCCGATTTTCGAAATAATTTCGGAGGTAATCACATGGAATCGATAAAATCTCGTGATTTCTATTCCTAATCTATTTCTCTGCAATTTCTGAAGTAATTCTAATGCGGATAATTTATTCATAATAAAAATCTGATTCCACAAACCGAGTCTAGCTGAGTGAATCCACTCACACTTTATCTTCCCCCAAATTTCAAGAAATGAAAAAATGGAAAGACAAAAACTATTTGACTTGATTCAGGATATCGCTCTCTCGCTGCTCATAATTTTTCAAAGAAATACAAATTCATGACTAAACTTTTTCCTTCCAGCGCAATACATCGTTCTCTCAGAAATTAAAAAATTGTTGTATAAATATCTCGACTCAAGTGAAGACGCACTTCTTCAAATACTTTTCTGGTCCCAGTGTAATCCGACGACTATTTCATAAAATTAAACTGTTAAAAAATGTGATATGGTTGAGCGGTAAAACGCTGAGTTAAATTGTCTGAAGCACTAGTTTCAAACAATTTCGAGCGAGTGTCACCCCCTCCTATAGGCCACTTTCCTTTTCTTTTAACGAGAATGTAGACGGTATGGTAGTGGAACGAATTCGTATATAGCACCGAGGATGTCCCAGCGACGTTCGAATCTCCGGGGCAAAAGTTGGCTCGTAGAAACTTGATGGTTCCCCTGAAAATCTTTCTCATGAGAAGACACCCGGACCACACCGAGAACCTCAGCCTGAGGTGAACGAGCCAGGTTATTTCCGCGTGCCAGTCGCCAAGTCACAAGAAATGCGATATACTTCGAGTTGAAGGGACTGGTAAAAGTCCTCTTCTGAAATTAACGTGAAAGGATTACAGAGAGGATGACTTGCACGTGCTTCAATTTCCCCTCATTACCCAATTTCCCATTCGACATTCAAATTTCTCGCATTACCCCATCCCGTTTCCCATTCCTCTCGAATACATCAATTAGCAAGCGACATACTTCCGTATCACAACTATTGAAATCGCAGTTGGAGAGTAAAAATTTCAAAAAATATCATTTGACTGATAAACAAATGCATCACCCTAGAAATATTCAATAGCCTTGTGCACACGGTGTACTAGCCCTGTACCTCACCGTCTAAACGAGTAAACATGGAAATTACCTGATCTGAAATAGGCAAGATCGATTGGAGGAATTCAACCCATTTTCTAATAAAATAGACCTCAAAAAGGGACGAGGATTTTGAGAAAAGAAATTAATTGCTAATTAATAGGCCTATTAGTCCGGGAGATTTCGAAGAACACGATTTTTTTTTGCAAAAAGTAGAATGTGTTAAATATAAATATTATGGCGGAAAAATATTTAGTCTAATAGTCAAACGTTTTCAAAAATTCAATTAGTCGAAAGGGAAGAAGTTGATATCCATAACGGTTCAAAATCAATAATAAATGGAAATCTGGGGCTCTCATTTTTCTAATTACAGTTTCAGGATCAATTGTTAATCATTTTTGTATTTACAATGGAATTATAATCTGTTTAATCATTTTTTTAATGGCTTTTCATTGGTTTCAGAAAAAATTTTATGACCCTAATTTCGCCATCGCTGCCTTAGTTTTTATCTTCGAAGGAAAAAAATCAGTTTTCAGGTATATCAGAATGTACTATTGTTGTACTCCATGCAAAATGAATGAAATGTACGCGTTTGTTATTTCTGATTTTACGATGTCGTACTGTTGGCCTTTGTGGATTTTCTCGAGTCCCAAATTCACTTTTCCCGAAATTTTAATTTCTACCTGGATTAGACCTGTGAAGATTTATTGTCTCATTCCTTGGGAATTTTCAGTAGGTCGTCAAAACAAAAAAAAGAGAAATCTGTGGTAAGAATGGAGAAAGGGAAAATATTCCAGGGAGTGAAAATTATATTGCCTTACCTGCGGCCTTTCGTAAATATTTTTGTTGTGAAATACCTTCGGATTGTGTACCGAGATCAACAAAAATTCCAAAGAAGTATTTTCCCCGATAGAAAGTGTTAGGAAATCCTAACTTCATAAATAAAATTAAAATTATTATTATGAATTATTTTTACTGATATATTATTTCAATATTTATTCAGATGATTAAAAAAATCGGTTAATCGTTTAAATAAATGATTGTTTCCATCGGAAAGCAATAATTGCAAAAGCAACGATTTATTCCCCCGTTGGGCCAATAAAAAAAATGTTGAGATACTTTTTGGGTGCGCGATAGGCAATTAATGACACCAGATCTTGGCATACACCGGCAATATCCCGTAGAGTCAATTGCTGAGCTCTGCTTCCAAGATAAGGTTCCCGAGACAATGCGGTACTTGGTCGCGGCGACTTAAGCTTAATCCCCCGTGTGGTAAGTTGCCGTATTAAGTCGTCTCAACTCAAGAGACTCACCTCCCCCCCGTTGGGGGATTTTATGTGTATCTCAACACACATAAAGAACTCCTTTAAATTACCATTGGATTTATATTTGACCTCGGTCTCATTTTTAATTCAACATTCATTCGCCGTTATCTCTGTACTTTAGGATTTTTAATTCATCCCCCTCGATTACCCCCTTCTCCCAAGCGAATCGCTATTTCGTTCGAAAATTTCACCGTTGAATTCAATTTTCAACGTCGGACGGAGGGCGGACTGAGGGTAAAAGGGGGTGGCGAGGGTGGCGAGAGGTGGCGAGAGGCGGCGGGGGTGATGGTGTAGTAAAAGGAGAGTGGGGACGAGGGGGAGATGGGGGAACATTGGGGGGGGAAAATTCCTGTAATTTTCTCATTCAACGACGCGTTAAGACAAATTGCTAGGTTTTGCCGCGTCGCTCGCGCGGTCGCATCGGCAAGGGGTTGTGGAGAGTTTAACGGGGGGGTCGGTCCAAAGGTAGAACGATGGAGTGTGATACAGAGGAGTGAGAGGGAGAGAGTGAGAGAGAGATTGAACATTCGCCTGGCGAATTTATGGAGTCGGCCAACTATTTAGATAGGCGGGATATAGTACCGATCCAAGAGCGCGTTGCACGGGTGATTTTAGGGTTTTTGTTCCTCTCCCTCTCTTTTACCTTCACCAAAATAAAATAAGCCCTTTAGTCTCTTCAGTGTCCTCAAAACAATAGACAGGGTACGACTTGTGTACGATGTGGCTACGCAGGGACCACGAAAATCCAGTAATTACCGTTATTTATTTTTTTTTTTGGGGGTACAATCCATCAGGGGAGGGGAAAGCGGTAGGTGGAGCCTTAGGTACTGCGGGGTTTATTTCTAAAGTTATCCTTGAAGATTAAGACGTTTTAAATGAGACAAAACGCCGTCTCCACGCGGCCTACGGTTAATACCCGGAGTTTATATGCAGTTTGGAGGATTCATTTTATCGCTGTGATGTACCGCTTTAAGCGAGAAATTGCAGTGCCCTTTAAATCTTAGTCCATCCGAATGAGATAATACTACCATGCATCGTAGTTCCATTTATTTCTTACCACTTCCAAGATGTTTATACAAAGTCGCGAAAACATGGAAAAAGTTTATAGTTAAATTTCATTTAAGTACCACTTAATAACCGCAGTGTATTACCCCTAAAGAAATTTTTACCAGTTAATTATAGTGAAAGCATGAGTTCCTTGATAATTATTCTTCTGGTTCTATTATGATTATTATTATCGTGTAATTAGGTTCATGCGTCGTGTCACCATCCACAGAATTTATCAATTAAAAATTTATTAACCCCTTGATCAAATCCCATTCCTCGAAACTGTCGCAACACCCCCAAACAATATCAACCGATAAAAAAATGTCGAGCAGATATGAGTTGAGTGTTGGAAAAAAAAAAGTTGTAGAAATGGATGAAGAAATGTAAAGTTTGTGTGGCAGTATCTCTTTCATGTCTATCCATTTTCCTCTTTCCACGATTCTTCCCTTT